AGGAGGCAGAGATACGAGACACAGCAGGAACTGCGCTGAGCTTAGATGCAAAGCATATAAGCAAACAGAAAATCAGAGAGGTGAAAGGTGTGTGTTTGAGATGGGCTGATAACAAAATATGCGGGAAGCAGAGAAAGGAGAGCAAGGTCCTCCTCTGATCCTCCATATCTCCGCTGTGGAAAAGTACAGTATGATTGCTTTTTTTTCCTTTTTTCTTTTCCTTTTTTTTGCTGAGCCACAGAAGCCGTCTAAAACGAATGGAAATAAATTGAAGGGCAAGTGTGTGTGTGTCTGTGTTTGTGCGTGAAAGGGAAAGGAGGCGAGAGACACCCGCGCTGCGTGAGGTGAGTGACAGGCATGAATATTTAATGCCTCTCGCCGTCGCCGAGGTGACGGCCATCAGCACGTCAGCCCTGCCTTGGATTCGTTCGCAGCTGCTGCCTTATTGGCGCAATTAGGCAGGGATGAGCCACCGATTAATTGAACCGGGCTCTCCGTTCAGTCCTTCGGCGGTTGTGCGGGGTTATCAGTGGAATTGCTGCTGCATTCATTGAAATGATGACCAGCAGAAATACCGCCGGCAGCCATGCACACACATGACAGTAAAGCTGGCACTTGTATGTTGACCATGCAAGGATTCATTACTTTATTGCCTTGCCAACAAAGCTGACTTTACCTTAGAGTGAGAGGTTAAATCACAGGCCATGCAGTGGCACACATACTGCATAAATAGCAACAGGCAGTGAGGCAGACAAATTAAAAGTACGCACAAATAAAACAGCTGTATTTTCATGTGTAAGAATTTAGGCCTTTAATGCAAACTTAAAAATATAATAGCATTTGCATAATACAATAATTTCCCCGCCAAGTTTGGGGAAGTGACCTATGGATTTTTCAGGCCACTGCCTCATTTATGGTGGCATTATAAGTAGTGTTATAAATCAGCAGTGTTAGCTTAAACCGTGTGTGTCTGTGTGCATGTGTGAGTTGGAAAACTTGCAGAACAGTACCATCTCCTGGCCTGAAGATGAGATTTTACTCTAACCAGCAGCAGATGCACTCTCTCTGTTTATCACACTAATACACATTTTAAAAAGCCCAGTTAATCAGTGTTAACTAACTGAGGAACCAGAGAATAAACACAGTCGAGCTTTGTCTTGTACACAATTCAGTTTAGCCCTGTTTAAACAGCCAACATTTCATTTTCACTGTAGATCTCGGGAGTGGTGAAAAACAGAACAAATTGTTAAGCACCAGCTAAAAACAGAGAGGCATTTATTAAAGCATTTAAAGCTCTGCATATATCAAAGTTACGTTGTTACTGTGCAGTCGATGTAATAAACAACAGTGCAGACAACTGCTATTCAGGGAAAAGTCAACCCTGAGCTACTTTAAACAACCATCTGACAAATCTAGGATATTAAAATCCAATTAGAATATATTTTCTATTGTAAAACACAGAAACGACGTCTTCAGACCATCTGTGCTGCCTAAAAAGTGTCACACAGGCTGAACCTTATGTTTCCAATACATTTTTTTTCATGTCAGAGACAGGTAGAAGGGGATGCATTTGATTCAATGTAACTGCTTCTTTTAACAAATACTGTGAAAATGCCAAAACCAACAATGGTGGTTGGTTTTGAGAGTAAAAGGTGGCTTATAAAACTCTGTGTAGGGTTATAATTTCACAAATTACTGATCAAAAATGCTGTAATGTGAGTGTTCACCTGTTCTCCTTGATATAATTCCTTAATCGTCCTTAATTTCATCTGCATTTCATGGAAAATCATTTCTGCAGCACTGGTTTCATCATAATTTCCATGAAATTTTGGCTGGTTGTTTATAGGCGGTTCAAGAAAATTTAATAAATAAATAATTGAAGTGATGTATACTTTTTAATTTCAAACTAACTACCATCCCACTGTGTTTTTAATCTTCTGAGGTTTGTGGTTGCCGTGTAACTGTGTCTAACGACAACCAGAAACAGACGGCTTCCCCCAGAAACAACAGCTGCCCTTGAAAATGAACCCCAACAGCGAGCCTGAGGCGACACTGATCCAGTCCAG